TTACAAAACACATCATGTAGTTTCAATAGCCTTTGAGTTTGGCTCATGAAATCATTCAATCAAGTGATATGATACCAATGACCGATCCAATATAACTCGCTGTTTGTGAATCAAAATTCTCAAGCAAAATAAAGAGTAATATTTCAATTATACTTTGTAAAATGCATTTTTTATTCAATGAATTACAATATGCTATAAATATCACTTGTATATTATAACGATATTCATCGCAAATCTTTCGTGCAATGCAAATCATCCAAATTATATTGTTTTAACCCTCCAATGCCAATGCGTTATTCTGGCCCTTTTGATAATGGACAATGCATTTATGAATTATAAATACAGCAGGAAAGCTGTAAGGCCCGAAAGCGCATTGTAAGTTGCAAGTCGATAAGTCGATTGCGTGTAAAAATGTATTAAAGCGTGTTATATTTCAACTTCGCATTTATCATACAAGATACATTGCAATATATTCATTTCTGTTTCATAATTTTGGATATTGTCATACATCATAGCAGTGCACACTTTCCCTTTGGCTTTACCACCCAAATTACGACCATGATCTTTGTGATTTATTGTGAAGCACGTAGCAGAGAAGTCCCAACTTAGTGCCTTCTCGTTGTTGAACAGAACATTATAAAAGCTGCTCGCTTGATATCTTAGCTGCCCCACAATAATCCTCATTCAGAGACAATTCAAAGTTTATTAAAGGCCGTTAAATCGTCTCGTAAAATCGGCCGCGTACATATAAATACTCGATATCGTAAAATAATTCTCCCAACTATGAAAAACCTTCATATACGGGAATATGAAGGACTGCTTTGCATGAATTTTGCAATTTTCAAGGACTGATATCCCCTGCCGCGAATAAGTCCGAATCAGTCCAAAAAAATGAACCAATAGAAATTGTCAATAATTTCAAATTGACCAATCAAAATGAAGGAAATGGACTTATAAAAACTCCCTTAAAGTGCAAATCAGTCGGACCGCCCCATAAAAACTCCCTTAAAGTGCAAATCAGTCGGACCACCCCATAAAAACTCCCTTAAGTTGCAATTCAGTCCGACCACCCCACAATATTTTCAAATTGACCAATCAAAGGAAAGAAATGGCCTGAAAAAGACTCCCTTAAAGTGCAAATCAGTCCGGCCACCCCACAGATCAGTCGAGATAAGTCCAAATGACCTCTCGACCAATCAAATGAGCATAACGACCACCCGATTCTGCGAGATTCTTGCGTTTTACCGCTGCTCTAGATAAAGCATATATTTATTCAAAACTGAGCTCGTAAAGACGTATACTGGACTATGATATGAATTTCATATTATATTATATTCGGGAATTAATTATTCAAATTTCGAAATAATAAATTAATTATTTCTTTACAAAAATACGTCAGTCACGCGACTGATTGGACTTACCCTAGATCCGCCCCTGGTCAGGCCCGTTTCATACGCCGTACTTCACATGTGCCGAATACATTAAAAACAATAGATAATGAGGCATTTCAGCTCATCTATATTGTCTTTAATGTATTCGGCACATGTGAAGTACGGCGTATGAAACGGGCCTCACAGCCGGAAACTTTACCCTGTAAGCGGGATAACGTTTCTCCATATGAACAGAACAAAAGTATTTGACTAGTCAAAAAGTTTTCTCGTTAACCGGGATAGCTTTTGCCCACATGAACAGGCCGTCAGACAGTCTCATTACAAGATAAATGTGCCCATAAGGGCCTCTTCCCGTATAGGGAATTCCCCGATGTACATTCAGTTCTTTGTTGGATTGCATGGCGATAAACATACATTAGTTTTTGTTTGTGGAAACACCACGTAAAAAAATTAGACCATCTATAATGACTTAAGAATATGAAAAAAGGCTGCCTAGCAGGTAAGCAGAATTTAATCTTTGTAGCGCAGTAATGGACCGCTTATAGGCGCTAGTCGCATATGAAAATATTGGGTCTTGTATAGTAATATATCCTAACTGGTTAAATCACAGGTTAAATGTTACCAGTATAGTAAATTCTAAAATATGCTTAGATGTCATACCCGTGGCCGTGATTTCGTAACATTCAATTCCTTGTCATTTGCAAAATATTGCGTTATTTTGTCGTTTGCTTCTAAGTTGTCATGCAGAAGAGGCTAGTTGTGCTATTGATTTACACATCCCAATTGAAAATTGCTCAATCATAATGAAAACGATCTGGAAATAATCTTTGTCGCATGTTATTGCGAAACTTGTGTATCACGCGTTATTGCGAAACTTGTCTCATTTCGTAATCGCGAAGTTGATCTTAATTAATCTGCTGTGCTATGCTCTTGTTTATAGTATTGTTTATAGTTTTTATAAGTTTAATTTTTTTAAATATTGTGATAAATATAAGAATAAGGTGTTAAAATATGTTTAATTAAAAGGAAAATGTTGTAGCTGCAGGATTGCCCGGTTAATCACCAGTTGATATTCAAAATATTGATATTGGTATTGCAACTAGAATGGCGTTAACTCGTGCCAGGAACAAGTTTCATGCATCCTATGTAATCATGCATCCTATGGCATTATGTATTTTATAACGTCTGTAACAAAGAATGCGTTTTTTTAATTCTACCTTTTTAATTCTGGATTTTAACAAATTTCAAATAACGTAATTTCAAATAAATGTTTATCCTGTTGTCACTTGTCATAACACAGACACAGAACGGCAGGTGTTATGTTACCTACTTTCGTCGACAGACTTCGAAACTCGGACTCAAAGAAAATCCGGACTTGAGACATGTCAGTGGTCTATCACGGCAGTTCGCCAAATTAAAATTGCACTTGGTGCGTCGAAGGCGAAAAATTTCTCCGCAATTACAGGCACATTTAATATAACGTAGAAAATATAAACCTAGAAAATAATAAATTGTAGGCTATAAAACAGTTTTTCAACAATGTTAAGTACTATTTAAAGCACGCGTAGGAGTGTTTTATCTAAAACACGACGCGTAGCGGAGTGTTTTATATGTGATAAAACACGACTACAGTCACTACAAGTGCTTTAAATGGCATAAAAAACGACTCATCTTATACGAGTTCATTGGCGAAGTAATTTTTAAAATAAACTTTGTCTAAACCGAGAAAATCAAAGCTAAAGTTTATGTAAATTAACATAATTTTTTATCACATATAAAACCACGACACGCTTATGATTTTTCTTTGTGTTTTGCTCCTGAATTATTAATCAGTTTTTTAACAGTATTAAAAAAGTATTTTT